CTCATCTGAGTTAAGATTTATTAAAGCATCACTCGTCTAGATACGATGGTAACAGCTAAATTTGTAAAGGAAAGTGCACTAACTCTCTTCATAGTACCCGAACTTTGTTGGTGGAATATCCATTGATTTTTAAAACGTTTCAGTACCAAGAAATCTAGAGTATAACTTGGTTAGACTCCAAATCTTTCAGGTAATCAAAACAGCTTATTCGAGTCAATTAAAATATAACAGGTTTCTTAATTAAAATAGATCTGAACGCAGATTAATCATCGGTTTCTTAAATGGGTATACACCAATTAACTATCATCTTTTAAAGATGATAAAGGACGCTGATTGGTTAAACTGCTTAGCAAATAATCGCCGCTTTAGTACTACATGTCACACCTTTGATTTGTTTTTTTCTTAATTAACAGACTGACTGAACATCAAAAAAATATTTTCGTGAAGATCTCTCTACTAGTACAAGAAGTTAAGCATCCACGGAGAAAGTGTGTAGAATCTTTTCTCGTCATTATTCTACTTCTATAATAAATATTAAAGACGAAGTTTTTTTGAATGGATTCCTTCACACCACTGATCTGAAACAACTGCAATTAATCTGGCAGTACGGACATAGTCTCTGTAAAAAATTCCCGAACTAACTAGGTTCTAGGTTCGAACTAACTAGGTTGTATAAAGTTCAGGTAGACAGAAATATTGTACATGTTGTGAATGATTTCCACAACTGATTTTTTATTTGCTGTCTGCAGCACGTAGAGATATGTGTCTATTTTAATGGTCTCTATGGTTGTATGACCCGGTGCCCACTGGCAGATGTCCATAGAATCGCTAAGATGAGCTGCCCTCATTTTATTACTTTACTTTTATTACTTTAACTGCGAACCAATGTAACAACGATATCTAGAAGAATGAAATTTTAGCCTATCTTATCTGCTCTTGTACTGTGATTACAAAGAACAGCATCTAGTGCTTTTATTCGACTTTCATCAAACCAAATAAAGGTCTGAGATATGGAACCGGACGAGATTGTTAAGTTTATTATCAATATTACTTTATGGAATTTAGTATTCGATACTTTTTCTAAGAATGGAATATATGAATTAAGAGGTTACAATGTTTCGTTGTTCCTTCTAATAATAATAATTTTTAATATAATTCGTTTTAAAATTTATACTATTCTTTGATTTCGTCACCTTTAAAAATATTATTGGTGGTATACAAACCGACATCCGTATACCTTAGCACCGCATACGTACTAATCCTGTACCTCAGTATTCGACAAAAAAATCAAATTTTGAATAGTTAACTTTTAATGAATTTCTAAATCCCTGTTAAAAATTATTCATATATTTTCAAAATTACTATCAGAATAGAAAAGAATAAAAGTTTATAGAGTAGGGTACATCTTTAGTACTAAAAACTATATCCTTACTGAAGAGAATATACACAGCTCTCGAATGAAGACTATTATTAAGTGGGAACATGGTTATAAGCTTTTGGTTAAGCATTATTCTTTTAGTCAAGATCAGAGACAAACAGTCACAAAAACTGTAACTAGAGGTATTATCTGCTGCTATGTAGAACAAACATTCGTATTCCTCAAACAACTTCTAATTGTTGAAATGGTAACGAAAGTCACCTGTCAGATAACCTACCAACACCGAATGAGATTCTGGCTAAAATTTCTGCACCAACTTTGTTAGTTTTAAAGTCGTCTGTGCAGATCTACGAAATGACTCATAACTCATATATAAGTGGAGTAATAACTACTATATCATCCAATAAAGTTTGAAAAACATATAAAAGAGATTTTTGATTTCGTCAGCAACACTACTCTTGGCAATACTCAGGAATCTACACAATTGGTGACTTTTCTTTGTTCCAAAATATATTTTAATATTAAGCATTTTTAAATAGAGACAGGATAAAACTTTTTTATTTCTCTCGCTTCATCACGGATTTAATATATTCAAAAAATGTTGTTAATTATTTTCTGTCCAGTTATTTTATTTCTTGTATTAATAAAAAAAAAAAATATCGAATCATCCGTTATGTTTGGTGACGGTTGACGAAGCCTTGTTTCATATTTCACTGGTTTCTCACTTCTTTATTTTATTTAATATATAATTTTGTTTGAAGTAATTCG